AGAGTTAATTCTGGGGGTGCCGTTTCTGCAGAGCCCCCAGCGGTGACGGTGAGAAGCAAGACAGAGGTGGAGGATGGGATGGAGACGCACATCTGCCGGGTCCACGGCTTCTACCCCAGGGAGATCGATGCCTTCTGGACGAGGGACGGGGAGGTCTGGCTGCAGGACACCCTCCATAAGTCTGTGGCCCCCAACGCGGATGGGACCTACCACTACTGGCTCAGCATCCGGATCGACCCCAAAGAGAGGGGCCGCTATCGGTGCCACGTGGAGCACGACGGCCTGCAGGAGCCTCTGGACCTGGCCCTGGAAGGTGAGAGGCTGCAGGGAGGGGAAGGCTGGGCTCTTTGGCAGGCTGGGAGGTGGTGGGAGAGGAATCTGGCCCCAGATGTGTCCAGGTGTGAGCATACCTGAGCTTTCATCCATTGGTTTTTCCAGTCTTTGTGGTTGGTGCAGCTGCAGGGACCAGAGCACAGAAATGACTTCAGGGGATGGAAACTACAGAATCCCATCACAAGAGTTGGCCGATCCTCATGAAATGTCCTCAGATCCTCTCTTAGGCCTTCCCCGTTTCTTGCCCCCAGCACCAGAAACAGATTTCCTTTTGTTCACAATTCCTACAGTACAAAAATCAGGGGGAGTCTGGTTGCCCCCTTTCTGAAGGAAAATTCTGACTAAAATGGATGAAGTGCAGCCGACTTCAGGAAATGCAGAGAGTGGCTGGACTGATGCATCAGGAGTCAGAAAAGAGGCTAAGAAGTCTGAGTTTTATTTCCCATCAGAGACTAACAGGGTTTCCTGCTTTCAAGGTCAAAAGGTCACTGTGTGTTGCTTCTCTAAGAAAGAAGTTGCACCTTATTTTATGATCTGATATGTGAATTCCTGAGGCTCAGCATAAAACCCAAGGAAAAAAGCCCTCTTTCAAAGAGTTCTGTATATGCTCAGAAGTGTCCTTAACGTACACTGGACTTCCAAAGTTGCAACATTCAAATTCATATTTTTTATTGATGATTGTCACCAAGATACAAGAAATATTCAAATGTAATTGTTATGCTGATATCCCAGGCAAAATAAAATATTCCTTTTATTTTTGTTGTTGTTTATAGCAAGCACCAAATTCACAAGTGGAAGGATTGCTATTCAATGGGAATCCTGAATTTTGTGCAAGAGAAATTTAAATTTAAAGTTCCTTCCTCAAATCTTCCCCCCCCCCCCCCGCAAAACTTTCTCCTTCTTCCTCCTGCACAGTCTTGTCCAGGTGCCGGCTTCTTTGTGGCAACCATTACAGACCGCTGCTCCACTGCCTTGAGAAAAGGGGTTTTTGCCGACTGGGGAGGGGGTCTGCGATACCCCCAAACCCCTATCCGGATCCCCCCTGTCTTCGGCTGCCTCTACGGGGCAGCCTTATCCTCCAGACCCATCGGGATCGGAGGCACCAAGACGGCTAGCGCAACAGGGATCGCGCAGGATCGCGAATCCCTGCCACCGCCGAAGCCTGGCAAACTGGAAGTCTCACGATATAGAAAAGATGTTGACACTCTGGAAAAAGTTCAGAGAAGGGCAACAAAGATGGTTAGGAGCCTGGAGGCTAAAATCTATGAACAGTTTCAGGAATTGGGCATTTCTAGTTTAATGAAAAGAAGGACTGGGGGTGACATGATACATTCCAATATCTCAGGGGCTGCCACAAAGAAGAGGCAGTCAAGCTATTCTCCAAAGCACCTGAGGGCAGGACAAGAAGCCATGGGTGGAAACTAAACAAGGAGAGAAGCAACCTAGAACTGAGGAGAAATTTCCTGACAGGGAGGACAATTAATGAGAGGAATGGCTTCCCTCCAGAAGTTGTGGGGACTCCATCACTGGAAGCATTTAAGAAGAGACTGGAGAGTCACTTGTCCTGAATGGTTTAGGGCCTCTTGTTTGAGCAGGGGGTCAGACTGGAAGACCTCCAAGGCCCCTTTCAACTCTGTTATTCCATTATTCTATTTCTGCCATTTGTGGGTCTGTCCAGAAGCTGGATATCACCCTATTCCATTTTCATGCTGATGTTCTGGAAGCACAAAATACAATTTTATGCTAGTTCTGGACTAGCCAAAGAAATGAAAGTGTGTACTTACAAAAAAAGTCTAGGGGATATGAACTATTTTACTTTAAATAATAAAATGCAAATACAGATCTGCCCAATTCCCAAAATGTTTTTGTTTAACAAATTTTGTTTATTTTATTGTGTTGGGGACATTTTTGCTTTGTAAGCTGCTGAGAGTCACAAGGTGGCAAAGGGCTGCTTTTGAGTCGAAAAGCCAAAGATGAATCCAGTTGCCTTCATGCTGGGCTGGTGGAAGAAGAAGGCAGCGTCAGGAGGACACGTCCTCTAACAACTGTTCGCAAGGCTCCTTCATGTTACCCTGAGAGCGACACAAAAATGAGCTCATGGAGATTTTAATTTTGGGAAATTTCCAGCTTTCACTTTAGGTCACTCTTGGGAAGATTGTTTGGGCTTCTCCTTCAATGATCTGCTCTCTCTCCGAATTCAGAACCAAAATCCAACCTGGGAATCATCATCGGCTGCGTTGTGGCTGCTCTTGTCCTGGTGGGTGTGATTGCTGGGATCCTGGTATTCTTCAGTAAGTATCTTTTTTTGAGGGGGGGTGATAGAAGGACCCCCTTTGGGGAGCTTCTTCTGGGCTTCCTTCTGTCCTGTTTTCGTGGCCCTCTGAGATCTCAGCCTCTCGCTGGGACTCCCGTCTCCATTCAGCTGAGTCTGAGATTCAGGCAGTCCTGTCTTCTTCTGAGTTGGGAAGAGGCTTCCCAGTTCTGTCCCTTTCGAAGAATTTGGTCAAAGAGCAGCAGAGAAGGATTTCCATGAAAATCTTCCTCCCCTCCCAGCTGCTGCTGCTGCTTCCCCCAATTCCCCTCCATCCATCTTGGAGGCAGCAGGTCTCTCTTGGGGCAAATCAGGAGATACATTTGTATTTTGAAGATCTTTCTGTCTTTATAAATGGGACAAAGGGTCTGTGAAGTATCTCCTGCGGTTCTTCCTCTTAACAGAGGGAGAGTTTGGATGATCTCTAGTGGATTCTTTAGAGCTTTCCCTGATTTTTGTCCTTGCAGAAAGACGTCAAGATGACTACAATGCAGTTCCAAGTGAGTACATGTAATTTCCAACTTAGAACAGGCCTCAGAGGCAATATCACTTGAGGATTGTCTGTGTATGTGTGTGTTTAAACACAGAAAAAAAACTCATGAAGCTGCAGAGTTGTGCT